GACTTTTAGGAAATTTCCAAATTATTACAGGTGCTTCTTCCCCTATCTTATCTCCATTTTTATTTGATTTCTTCATTTCTGGATTTTTCCAATAACTATTGACATTACAAGAAGTGTGGAGAAATTTTGAAGTCCACCACCATATTTGGGATTATTTAGAATAATAAGTCAGCAATTCCACCACCATTAGCAATTATAAATAGAGATGGATGTATTGTAATATGAATGTGAGATAATAAGAGAGATCATTGAGTAGCAATGGAGCTAGTGGAGTTGTAAGTGTCCTTTTCTTAAATGATAAATTAAGTTATGGGTTTGTGTTAGCTTAACCTGTACAAGTGCTTTTAAAATTCAATTCCCATTTTGTTTAAACTCTTCAAGTCATCAAAAATTTCACACATTCCATTAACATGAAGTTTATACACGAGGTTGAATCATTTAAAGAATAGTAAAATGTATGTGAGTCATTTCTAGCAAGCAATTGAAATTTATCACCATATATAGGAAAGCATCTACCTCCACTACCCTCTCTCCTCACTCTCCGCTGTGCATACTACCATCGGCTCTATTTCTATCATATAGAAATAACACTTTGAAGGCAAGCAATTCAAATTAAACGGTAAGGGATTCAGTACTCGGAACTTTGGATGGGCAATATATGCTAAAATTGCATTTGAAAGGAGTATAGTTGTCAAAGCATTTTCTTTTAAGTGATTACTCTTAAAAAAATCAAATTTCATTGGAAAAGGTGAACAATCCCTTGAACCTTAAATAGATAGCATCATCACGATTCTATAATGATACTATAATGCAAAAGATAATTGATATGTATGCAAGAACAATTAGCCCTCGTTTGGTTTAGAAAAGAAATTAGATTTTTAGTAGATTTTGATAAAAAAAAAATTGATGAAATGTTTGATTGAAAAGTTAATAAATGTTGTGCTTTCCCATCGAATGTGTGGATGGATAAAAAAAAAAAGAAAAAAGAAGATCGAGCTTTTAGAATATGGGGCCAAACAGGGGCTTAGCCTTTCAGTCAAGGGATCAATAAAGCATATAAGCAAAGGTAACAAGAAAATGGAAGCTAATAAATTCATTATCATTATTCCCAATTTTACCTCAAGTGGATCCGTTTCGCCCTCCAACTCAACCATCACTGGAGCATTCATGCTGCAAAACCAAAAGCATTCCTCCAAGTCAAAAACTACTCAACCAACTCCAAAAGTTAATAAATTTCCAACCCTAAAACCATAAAACTGAACCCCACCTTATCTGCAACGCCCGCGTACCCAAAATCCTCGCACGCTCGTATTTGGTCATATACTTGGACGTTTTCCGAGGGCGTTCAACTGGTTCGACCTCCTGTTTCTCTTCGCCTTCGCCTACAATGTCATCTGGAGCATCTTCATTGTTCTCTTCTTCCAACTCTACACCTTCCTATCAATTGCACAAAAAAACAGTAAAATAATCACCGATAGACCAAGAAAACGCTACAAGTGATAATATGCAAACATAAAAAGAAAAAAAGCTTCTTACATCGGGTTCCGGTTCAATTGGCTCATCTTCGTATCTTCAAAAATTCAAAAATTCTAGTTAGTGAAAACAAAAACCCTAGCTAAACCCTGATCCCAATAAATAAGCTTTGAGAACAATAATAAAATAAAATAAAATAATTGTCGAATTGCACAGACCCCCCGTCCATGTCGTAGTCCTCATCTGCCATTGCGTTTGTGTGGGTTTCGCGACTTGTTTGTGGGAAACGAAGAACGGAAAGAGAAATGTACAGCGTCCGTATATATTTGTAAGATATTCAAATGGGCTGGGCCTTGCGATTAATCAGAAGTTATTATTTTGGAAAAATTACCCAAAAGCCTATATCTTAAATATACTATTAAAAAAAGGATAAATTTTAAAGTCATAAATTAGGTGATAATTAAAATTTATTAAATTAATTAATAAATCCCTTACTCCCCACTACACCACCCTCACCCTCTATTTATATTATGCCCCTGTTTGATTCCCATTTTGGAGAAAATAATGTATTTTGGACACTTTATTAGAAATTGTTCCAAGAAGAAGGATAGGCAGAAGGTTATGATGAAAGGTGAGGCGAATATGGTTATAGGATCGAGTGATGATCCTAGTAAGGTTTATTGAAAGTGAACTTAGTTACTTCATGTGCATCTGTTTGTGATTCGTTCTGCACGTGTGTGATTGTCTAATTTTGGTACATGGTTATATATTGTATTTCAACGTGTTCGATATGTGCGTTTGCATGAATTTGAGGCAATATGATTATTTGGTGTAATTTTTTGTATGTATAATAGGTTAGGATGCATTAACAGTGTGGTGTACGTCTTTTGGTAAGGTGGAGTTTTTAGATGCCTAGGGGTACATCGTGGCTTGTATCGAGAATATAGAATGTGACATTTGAATCACGAGTAGAGAAGTGGTTAAATGTCCAGAATTCTTTATCAATAAAGAGACCCTGATCACGTGGAGTGGAAGATGGACACTTCTATCACTTTTGTGAAATGGAGACCTATTATTTACATAGGTAGGGAGAAGTGATGTGATGATAAAAGATTATCCCAAGAACTTAAGATCTATTGTGACTAGTACCAATTAGACATGAGTTAAGCGACCAATCTAGTAAGCATGATGGGCTATGATAGGAGATATGTGTTCTCGAGGTCTAAGCAACACAGAATAAGATATGATAAGTGCAGTGAGATCTTTTTGTGGGTTATTTATACATTTGTTGCATATGTGTTGGTCATTTGTTGATTAACGTGGTGTTAATATGTCGTTCTACGTGAACATGATTTTTTGAAAAGATCCTTTTGTCATCTTATATTATATCGTTATCGCATGTTCATTTGCTCTTAATTGATTACTGTGAATATTTGCTTTTATTTGGGTGTTTTTGATCTTAACCCTGTGAGTACATGGAGTAGATATAATACGTGTTTTATGTTGGAAACATGAGGTAAGATCTGTGATCCCAATTTTATTGATTACCTTGGTTATGCAAGTGCTCACTATGTGTTTTGATTGCTTGTAGGTTTATTGGACATCGAGGTGGAGATTTGTTGAGTTTTTTTGATACCTAATAAATCCCCAAGAATGATGTAAGCAATTTCAGATTATATTTCATAGGTCTCAATCGATGAGTGAAATATTTATCAACCAATCAATTCATATGCTTGACCCGAAAATAACGTGGACCACTAGTAGCAACTTAATTGGTTTTAATTTTGCCTTGGCCCAAATTCACTTACAGGAGGGTTTCTTTGTGTCTTGGCCCAATGTCTTGTATCTTGGCCCAATTATTGGTATAGCCTAAATCCATATATGTCCATTCTCAATTGTGGAAGCAGTGTGTTTGCCCTTTGTTTGAGAAGAAATAACGCAGCTGCCCTCTTTGTGATCTCCCTCGAGTTTTTGCCTTTATTGTCTTCTCTTTGCCTTTGTGGGTGAAAGAGGAGGAATGCAACCACAAATGAATAGAGTTGTGGGTTGGAGTTTTTTTGGTTGGTTGGTTGAGCTCGAAATCTACAAATTGAAGATCTATTCCGCTCCGAAATTTTTCAACTAATTTTGCGTTTTGAAACATCTAAATATATTATTTTTAATATAGCTTATTTTAAAAGCGCTGAGAACAAATGGTGACAAATTTGGGAGAAAAAAAAAAAGGCTATATTTTTTTAGATAGATTGAAGATCTTGACTTGGCATTGATAAATTCTTCAAATATTTTGAAATTCTTGTCATGTGATTGAGAATTAAATTTTATTCGATTTTTAACTGAGATTCTTGATTCAAATAATAAAATAAGATAAAATCAATTTCTCTCCAATTTTATCCTCAATGCAACTTACATGGTACTCTAGGACTGCTATGATACATTGACCAAATTTTTAACTTCACTATTATGTTTAATACAAAATTTTTATTATACTTATGTTGCAGTTTTTCCTCCACAGATCTCGTCCATAAGATTTCAAAATAACATCATTTTCTTGACGCATAGACTACTTGCAAACGAATATTCGACTTCTAACTTATCAATGCTAAATTTAATGTCACAACTATCAATAATTGCATAATTGCATCATGTAAGCAGACCAAGGCTTGGGAATTTCATTTCGTAAGAGAGAGCAATCGAATATGTAATGTTAAATCAAGAAGATGAGTAACTTCCAGCATTGGTCCTTCGAATATTCTTTACCATTGTCACTATAGCAAGCATTTTAGGTCTCTGCTCTGGCTTCCTAGCCACACAACTGAGCGCGATTTGCAACATATTCACCATCTCTTCCTCTTTATCAGGAAAATGCAGCAGTTCTGAATCAAATACTTTAGTAGTCCCCTCCTTGTGAACAATTGAACGAACCCATTTGACCAAGTTTAAGACTCCAGCTCGGGAAGGGGATTTACCCGTGAGAAGTTCAAGAATCACAATCCCGAAGCTGTAGACATCAGAAGCTTGCGACACTTTCCTGGTGTTTATGGTTTCTGGGACGCGGTACCCTGCAGTCCTCATGACTGGAGGTCCAATCGGAGTTACCAATGTTGCTAAGCCAAGATCGGACACACAACCATATTGTTGTGAGTTCAGGAAAATGTTCGAGGCTTTTATATTTCCATGGACAAGCTTCCCGTCACATTGTGCATGGATATGAGCAATACCAGTCGCAGCACCAATTACAATTCCTAGCCGAGTTTCCCAGTCGAGAAGAATCTGGTCCTTGGATCTTTTTTCTGAAAAATATGTCAAATGCATCAGAGATTCAGAGTATAATAGCATCTGGGTTTTTATCCATGAACTAGTAATCATTATTATCATACAATGAAGAGAGTTATCTCAGTAAACTTCATATTAGTTTTGAAAAAGTATGATTCAAGCACTAGGAAAAATCATTAAAAACTAAACCTGCATATGCTAAATAATCTACAAAAACAAAATTTGCATTTACTCAGATAATTTTCAAGCTAATTTTGCGAATTTTGAGCTTAAACAGAAGCTGAAAACAGTGCAAATATAACGACAAGTCGACAACAATATTTCCACAAGAAGAAAGTATCTACCATAACTATCTTTGAGATGAGACAAAACACCAAACACCGTGATATATTATACCATATCCTTTTCATCAGTTCATTTATTTTAGTAATGTTCTGTTGTCAAGGGCTTAAAAGCAAATTTGATTCAGTTTGATAAACCAATTCAGGTGACATACAAACTAAAGAATCTAATGAAACTTCTTTGCAAAAATAATGATATTTATCTTTCAGAATCCATGGATTTTAGTTAACTACACCCATAACTATTCTTTCTCTATGAAGTAAGTAATCACATTATAGAGGTGGCACTCCCCAGATATGTGTGCCTGTAAAAGGAAAGAACAAAATTAAAAAAACACAATAGTGATTGCCAAACTAATTAAAGGAATATCACATACGAGTTTAAAAGGGAACATTAGAGGACATTATCTTAGCCATTCATATCTAAGGAAACAATTCAAGGAAATTCAAATAATTTGAACGGAAATAATGAAACGAATGTGGAAAACAAGACAAGAATTCTCTACAATGACATTGTAGCGTAGAACAATTGAAGGGCCGTGAACAGCTTGGTAACGTGTTTGTTTTGGGTACAAAGTGTCACAGGGTCAAATTCAATCCAATACATTCCTACCAGTTACATCTCTTTGAGCAGTAACGAGGAATCAGTCGAGTTCATGAAATCGAGACTAGATGAACTAAAATGCAACAATTGGGTAATATTATCACATTAGAAATCACAGAAAATCATTAATACAGAATTTCCTTCTCCTTTCATGATTCTTCCCAGTAATAGTTGGATAACTTTCTTATATACCGTGTATTGTACTGGAGCTGTAATTTGTTGAGAAAAATGTAGGGAAATCTGAAAATTTAATGAACTCCAAGGCATGAAAAAATGTTATCTTTTAAGAGATATTTCTCCTCTATCTAACGAAGTCACAATTGGGGTAAGATAGAAAATCTCTCTCAGGATACAATGGAGGCATTTGATTGAAATTGTGACTATTTGATCAAATCAAGAAGACACTCGAAAAGAACTGATGATGCCAAGAGAAAGAGAGAAGAATAATTTTTTAATACGTTTTGCAAACGAGAATTCTCTCAGAATTTATAGAAATTGAGGCAACCATTTGAATAGGTGGGTCCCTTGAAATGAAGAACACATCTGTTGAAATTTAACTGTCAAAAACGAACAGATGCATTTATTCAAAGACTTTTCTCGAGCCCCCACGACCCCCGTGACCTAATCGAGCAGGTCGATCCCCGTTGCGCAGCGACAAACGGGCTACAAATCATTCGCAAAACAAAAAATAAATACATTCAAAATGATGAAAAATATCTAACATAATTTATCATTCTTTGTCAAGGGATAAAATTCCATTTCGAATAAAGATGATATTCCGCACTATTAAGAAACCAAATTTTTGTTCTTATTTACTGCAGAAAAAGCACATTAAAAGATTAACATACCACGAAGCATTGCGTGAACGCTCCCATGACTGTAGTAATCATATAGCATGAGCTTGTTATCCTTAAAAGTACAGTAACCTCTAAGAGGTACAACATTTTCGTGCCTAATACTGGCAGTGACCTCCATCTGCCGCTTGAACTCTGTCTCGTCGACACTTAATTCCCTCAATCTCTTCACCACAACTCTAACCCCATTACTCAGAGCTGCCATATATGCAGTCCCAAATGCTCCCTTACCCAAAAATGTAGAAGGAGCCCGTAACAAGTCTTGAAGTTCAATTGCAAGATTGTAACCTTTCACGAACACTAACTTGGGTTCCACTTTACTAACAGATTTTTCTTTCTTTTGGGACTTTGATTCCCTTGAGTTAATAATTGCGGGCTGTGTTGCTGGGAAATTCTGTTGAAGTGAAGATGAACCTTCTGGGTTTGAAGACATAAAACTGAAATCTGATAATGTTGAGACACTACTTGAACTCCGCGAAATTTGACGACAGAGTTGCCTAAACTGCTCTCTCTTTAGCGTGGCTTCGACTAGCCTTTCCCAATTGTCATAAGCCAGAACCATCTTCTTGCTTTCAGCTTCAGAGATCTCAAACACTTTCTCTAATACATCGAAATGAACAAATCAAGAAAAATTACTGAGGCAATTGACAAAAGCAAACCGCAGTCTAATTTAAGACCAAATAGTTTCTCGTAATTTCTTAGAATTGAACAGAAATTCTTCTAGGAAATTTCGGTGTGTTGACATCAGAACACAGCGCAAGGAAGCAGCTTCTAGGAAAGCAGAGTGAAGGAAGACCACCCAAACTAGTCAAATCGATAGACCCAGCCTAACCGAGCTCCCGTCTGCTTTAGTTAAAAATTAATTTTTTAGTAAATTTAGGTCCATCTGACATACATTAATGTAAAAATGAGAATGAAAAATATAATTATTACAGGCCTCACACAAAAAATAGAAAGTCAAATATTGTGGCTTGATGTAATAGATAATGATCATATTTTTTATTTTAATAGGCAAATAATGAGAATCAGACAGCGATAAGTTAAATTAGTTAAATATTGATAAAAATTGTGAATGATTGAAAATGAATCCTAAAAAAAAAAAAAAAAAAAACCAATCAAGTCCAATTGGACCCAAATAATAAGAAAAATTAAAAATAAATTTAAAAACTTAACAAATCCTAAAATAATTTTTTTTTATCAGTCTCTCTCTCTCCTCACCACCCAATCGCTGACCAACCCATCTAAAGATGCTCGCATCTCTCTTACCTCATCACAGACCGTCGATCAACCGACCACCTAGGGATGGCAGTGGGCTGAGCCGAGCCGGATTGGCTCGTTAACCCACGAGCTCGGTTCAGCCCACGAGCTAGTGATTTTTTTTTTTTTTTTGCACATTTTTCAAATTTTTTTGATAAAATTTTTTTTTCCACATTTTTGAACGAGCCGGCTCGTGGGCTCAACGAGCTCTGCTCGTTGGACGGGACCCCCGCTCAACTTGAGCTCGAGCTCGTCATTTGACGAGAGTCCGAACAGCCCACGAACCGAATTTTGACAAGCCGAACCAACAAGTCGCGAGTCAGCTTGACCCAATTGACATCCCTACCACCACCGCTTCAAATAATGGAACCAAAGCTTGTGCCTTGAATAATTTATTTTTCATGAATAATTTTCAAATGTCGAAAATACATCATTTTCAAAATCCATTTTTTCTTCGAGTCCGAGGAGGGTAATTTCAATTTAGGGTCTAATTAGGGCTCATCTTACCTTTGGTAAATAGTTGAGGAAATGGAAAAAGTAATATTTTACTATGCATTTTCTTTCTTTCTTTTTTCTTTTTAGTTAGACTAGAGTTAAAAATCAAAATTTTCAATAAAAATTGATTAAGCAATCTCATTTTCCGTTACATTTTTTTTGTGGGGCTGAATACATTGTCAGGTAACATAATGGGGCGATTGACTTTGTAGGAAACCTATTTCATATGTTCCCATGTAATGCTTCTAACCAACAATTGTGGCATTTGCCATCTATAGTGGCGTGGTAAATTCTTTCCTTTCATTTTTTCCATTTTTTCTTAAATTCCAATAGGTCCAAGCGTTTATGCTCTAAGGAATTTTTATTTTTTATTTTTCAAAAATAATATTGAACCAACAAATGAATTGAAAACTGTTATAAAAAGAGAGAAAAATAAAATAGAATATACGAGTCAAAACTCAATTGTGTATTTTATTGAGAATCAAAACGCATATTTATAAGGTTTAAAATAAGAGTTACAATTGGAATGAAATAAATTTTCTAGACTAGATAAGACCTATGTATTATGATAATACTAACTAATAATCAATAATTATCTCATTATTTCACAACAAAAACGGTTTTCATAATTGAATTCTAATGTTGTTGCTAACGAATCAAAAATCACATTTTACATTGACTACTCATACAAATTTGGAATTCATGTCTTAGTTGATGCGTCATATAATCTTGCAATTATTCTCACAGTAAGTCTTCTTTGGTAGTCGCATCCATAGTTGCATTTTCATCTTCCTCATAGAGAAGGTCTATCTCTACTTCATCGTCGTCTGGCCATTATGCTCGACAAAATGCTTCGTCCACATTCCCATTTTCCAAGGAAATTGTGGACTGCCATTTTTGCTTTAAGAATCGCTGCTTGAGAACCAAAAGAGTAACTTGGCTTCCTATCAAGAATATACCATCGCTTCTTCCACACTTCAAACGACCTCTCAATAATGTTTCTATGGGAAGAGTGGTAAAAGTAGAATTGCTCTCGGACATTTCAAAATCTACGTCTGTGACGGTTACTCTCACTATGAAACTCTTGGAAATGAAATCTGATAAATGAGCCTTTATAAACGGGCCATATATCCTGGTCTATGTGCAAAACCAAATCCACCAAATAATATTTGTCAATTGCCGACTTCAAGAAATTAATATATAGACTGTTAGAGAATAACACGTTAATATGGCAATATGAAATTAAATAATAAGAACAAAAGATTTACGTCGAAATCCAACAAAGAAAAATATGGATGGAGGCAAAGGATTCAATATAATCAAAGTAAAGAGTTACAATATGTTAGACTATATTTCACAAGAGTCTCTCCTGGATATCTCTATATGCGAGGCTCTTTCTATTAATTTGAATATTCTCTTTATTATGTTCGATCAAATTTTTGTAATACACCGTATTTGTAATATTACAATTTCTACATACTAGAAGAATTAATATAATGAAAAGTTTAATATAAGATAAAATTCCAATAAAATGGATAAAACAAATAATGTATTTGGGTTAAAATAGGAGTAAAACATTGTCAAAAATCGGAATTAAAATCCTGCCTTGACATTATCGCTGCTCGAGTGGGAGCATGGCACTAAGGGAGCGGCAGCCTGTCCAGATTCCTTATTCTAAGCGCTCAGCGTCCCCTGGGCATTCGACGAGCGATTGTCTCGAGTAAAACTTCTCATAATCCATTTTGGACTCTTTTAGGACATCTTCACGTCTACTACTAATTTTCAATACTCCTCTAATAGTATTTTCAATCAAATAGTCAACAAGATTTCGGGTAACAATCCAATCCTAACAAACTCCACTTTGATAAGAATTCTACTGTAAGGATTAAAACTTAAGTTACCAACAAACTCAAAGAAATTCTCCAAACAAAACACTCTAGACAAATCACTCCACATTTTCTAGAAAGCCCCTAAAAAAACACTTAATAATTGTGAACTGAATCTAAGAACTACTTACCATAAAATTACATTGGGCGCTAAACTTGTTTGAATCACCACGACTAGCAAAATAATCAAATTCATAACTATCTCCATCCGAGTTGACAAATTTGGTTGAATTATCCCCACGAGCAATATGATCACAAGATAACAACTAACTCCATTTGAGCTATCACCACGAGCAACGTGATCACAACTGACTTTACCCGAGTCCACGCTTACCATACCATAAGCAACCAAACCAGCCTTTTCTTGAGGCATAATCTTCAATTTAGTGATAATTGTATCAAGTGTGATTGTCGAACCTTTCAAGATATATAACTGGGACTTTCTCTGCCCCTTTATCACAACTCTAGCACATTTTCTAATTTTTAAAACTTCACCTTCACCGATGTACCTGTATACTTTTGAATCAAGAGTATTCAAGGAAATAATATTTTTTTTCAAATTTAGAACATATCCCACCTTACCTAGTGTCCTGACCGTCTCATCAAATATCTTAATTCTGACATTACCAATACCAGCTATCTTAAAAGGCATATTTTTTCATGTTACCACAATACCTTCAGAAACTATTTCATATATTGAAAACCAATCCTGACTAGGATACATATGAAATGTGCAAGTTGAATCAAAAATCTAATCCTCACTAGGCTTGGAATTGTAGTCAGAAATAATAAAGAGTTTTCTATCAATGTAGATTTCCTCATTTGCAACATTGGCTTTACGATTTGTAGCCATAAACTTATCTCTATTCTACTGTAGCAATCATTCGTTATGTGCTTCTTTTTCCTACAATAATAACTGATTATATCATTGTTAATAGACTTAAATATGTCCCTTCCATGACCACCTGAATTTCTCTCACGAACAACAAGACGCTTTCCATGGGCCTCCAATCTAACGACTAGCTACTTTGTCTTCTCCTTAGAATAAAGTGCATCATAAACTTCATCAACAGTGAGAGTATTTCGAGTGTACAAAATGGCGTTCCTCAATGTTATCTATGAAACGAGCAACAAACATAAGAAAATCAACCCAAGGTCCTCTTCATCGTACTTGACCTCCATGTTTTCAAATTAGGGACGATCTTCCTGAATACAGATAGATATCTTCCAAGATCTGTTTTCTATCTAGCGATGATAATATAAACACTATTTCAAATACAGTTTCCTGGTCAGACTTCGAGTCATGCATAACTGCTCCAACTTCAACCATAATGGAGTGACACTTTTCTCCTTTACCGCCTTCTGAAAATTTTGACTTGAAAAATGAATATGTATCTAGGATAGAGTATTCTGATCCTTATGTTGCTTCTTCTCTGTTGGCATTAACATGAATCTAAAAAATAGTTACCAACAATGAATAAACGATTAATAAATACATAACGATAAATGAAAATGGAGTCCTTGCAGATTTTGTAACCTAAAAAAGGGATATTTGTCTTGAAATAATGGCTAATGCACTGCTTCGCAAACCATATCTGTCTTGCAGAATGTGGGGTGAAATGATTAAACATCGGAGGATACATCCAAAATTCTTGGATATTTTGTAACATGAATAGGTGTCTACTTCATGTTGCGGGGAACAAAAGCCGATGTTCCCCACAATTTCAGATGCAGTGTCGAACCATTCACT